TTCTAAAATGAAAAATAAAAAAAAGAAATTGGAAAGGGCCAGTGTTGTTGAAAGGCTCACACATCTGTTTTGTGGTCAACTTGTCAGCCATCTGCCCACAAGGTACTCAGGGCTGATTAGGTTAATGCATTTATTAATGGGGCTTAAAAGACTGTTCAATGAATCTGTTATTTCTTTTTGCAAAGAGCTTTTTAATATACCAAGACAAGGACCACAGTGAACAAGGCAGAGTTGTCAGATAAACAGTTCTTTACCTTCATCTGGCTCCAAATCAGAGGGGAACAGAAAATACTGTGGGAGAAGCTTTCATGAAAACTGAATTTCCAGGTGGTACAAATGGTTCATCCACCCAACCTCCTACCACCTTCTGGTTGTTGAAATAATCTTGAAAATATCTCTTTGGAGAGTAATTTCCTGCCCGAGGCACCCAAATCTGTGCTCCACTTCTCTAAAAAAACACCTGATAGTCCCATGAGTAGAGATGTTAAATAAATATGAATGATACAATCTTGCCTACAGGACATTTGATGATTGAAGGATAACTTTACTCTCCCACACAGAAATATTTTCAAAGCTACCATGCTTCTCATTACCTCAGGGATTACTGGCACGTATCAGTTATCTGCTGCTGCATTAACACGCGACCACAAAGCTTAACCTAGTAAGCGATTACTGGAATCCTGATTCTAATTCAGCTGGGCAATTTTTGTTTGGACTGGATTTGCACTGGCTGCTTTGTGCAGAGTTTGTTTCATATGTGAGATCCAAAGGCAGGTGGGCTGATGGCTTCATTGTCCAGGATGACCTCCCTGCATATGTGGCAGTTTCAAGGCTGTTGGCTGTGGGCAAGTGTTAGCCTAGCACCTGGAAATAGGAACATGGGAAAGAATGATTTCGGAACTGTGACTGGGCACAGAACAAAGGTGAATGAGATTCTCAGTAAGAGATGACTGGGAAGTAAGTAGGAAAGTATATTCCTCCTCAACTCTTGCCCTGATATTGTTCTTTATTCCCTCACAGTATTTTGCTCATAAATGCATTCAGTGAATATTTGCGTACCTCCTACTTATTAGGAACTAGGCTGGATACTGCTTATACCATAGTGGGTGCAAATCAGATCTGGACTTGCCATAGTGAGATAAACAATAGGAAATGTGCTGCCTTAGCCACATTGAAATGGCAGCCATGATAAGTGAGAAGAGTGGATCACAGAGGGAGCTGATTGCTTCAGACTTCTTAGTGCCTGAGGGGCAGGCAGTTGAGGATGATGGGAGCGGTTTAGGAAGCCATTTCTCTTTAGTTCTCTATAAAATTTTGTGCTGGCACTGGGATAGCTGCTGGGGCCATTCCTGTGGTTCTCACTCCTGGCTTTGTATTAGAATCACCTGAACTTTGTAAAGTTCTTTGTTGGGGCCACACCCTGAGTAAATAGATTTGGAGAGGGGTCTAAGAATCTGAATACTTGAAGAATGACCCCATGCGATTCCCTATCATATACTTGCAGGATTGAAACCACTGAACCCCACAGATGGAAAGAAGGTTCTTGCTCTCAAAGAACTCATACTCTAGTGGAGACACATATGTGACTGTGGAGACAAAGAATAACACAGTCAGTGTTGTGATGGAGATAACAGAGTTGGTTGAGGGAGCTTGGGGGAATTGGGGATCTGCTAAATCCTAAAGATGAACAGCAGTGAGCTTGGTATAAGTGAACAGGTCTGATACCCCAGCTTTTAGACCAGATCAGGAACCCCATGACACTTAGAGGACTGGTTAGTTGTACATAGCACTTGCCATATATAAAACTGAAGGTAATGTGTATGGTTATTTGGTTACCGTCTTTGCCTCCCTAGTAGAATGTCCACTCTATAAGGATTGGGACCGTGTCTACTTCCGACTCTCCCTTGTGTTCCCAGTGCCTAGCACAAGGCAGATGCCTATCTGATGAATAGTTAAATGACCGATCAAGTGGCTTGAGGGAGTTTTGGTAAGTGGTGGCATTATTTCTTCATCTTAGAACTATGCCTTTGACTGCAGTGGGGAAAGTGAGTTATGGGAGATGAAATGTAACAGCCAGGCGAGGTCGGGAGCTCAGGGCACTAACTGAGGAGAAGCTGTACAGAGCCTGCTTGTGGCACTCAAGGAGGCTGAGGCAGAAGGTTCAAAGTTTGAGTCCTGGGCAACTTAGTGAGACCCTGCTTCAAAATTTTAAAAAATATTTTTGTAAAAAGGACTGGAGATGTAGGTTAGTATTAACTCCCTAGGCTCAATCTCTACTACCAGGAAAAGGGCTTGGGAAGCAAAGAAGGGATCAGTTAGAGAAGCATTTATTAGACATGCAGGAACTGGAAGCACCTGGTGCTTCAGTTGTGATGGGAGACAACAGGGTGATGAAGTCAGCAACAGCTCCTGAGTTTGTGGATGAGCAGCTGGATAGTGGGTGGCCCCTTGTAAGAGATAAGGAGAAACTTGAAGAAGAAATCTGAGCAGTGATGTATTTGTCTCTTTGAGAGAAAGAGATGCTAGGGAATACTCTGAAGAGGTAAATGGATGAATTTGAAAACACTGTATAAGCAGGAATCTTAGATTATTCTTTTGTTGAAGTCTCATGGTGCTGGCATCCTCGAATTTTCTTCTGGGAGACAAGATGATGGTGTTCTACCCCAGCTCTTAAATGACTGGTGCTATCTTAAGTAAATCATGATGCTTCTCTCATTTTTGGTAGCAAACTCTGATTCCTTTGACTTTGACATAGGTACCTTCTTCAGTTAGTTGTAAAATTTAGGGAAAGGGGAACTTTCTCTTGAAAGGCTTGGTCACAGCTAATTGGATATATATATATAAGGAAAGCCATCTGATGTTGTGGTAAGCTTAGAAAGTTAATGCATGGTTTCTTGCAGTGTTGTGCTTAAGAGTGGAAGTAGAGGCCAACCTTACCAGAAATAGCTCTGTGGTCAATGAATGGTGTCTGCCACAAACAGAGGGAACAAGCGGAACAAGCTTTCCCTCTGTCACCTTCAGATGCTTCAACAAATGTTTATTGGGCTGTTTCACCTTGGTTCAGCCATTAGCCTTGGCTAATCTGTCCCACGATTGCAGCTTGACAGGTCAATGATGACTTCTACTCCAAGCGACAGCATCATTTCACATGTCTGAGCGTGACAGTTTTTTTAGTTTGTCAAGCAGGACTAATAATCCTCTTATTTCATACCTTTCTTATTGGAAGGATCAAATGAGGAAGAAAAAAAACATGGAGCCATGATGGTTTCTGTGAATTTATATAAATTCATACCGGTAACACTTGGGGATGTAAGAAATGGGGATGAGGGAACAACAGATAATCCTGTTTCCTAGAAGATGTAATCTCAAAAGTTTATCATTGGCTTTAAAACTGTATAACATCTTATAATTTAAAATTTCAAGACAGAATAACAGAAAATAAAGAGTCAAAATCATCAAAAAAGCAAATAAAAAGTAAAGGAAGGGAGGGGATAAGGGAGAAATCATTCATTGAAGAAGAGTATGGTGAAATAGAGTGCGAATTGGTAGAGCTCTTTTGAAGAGAAGCTGGAAATATGTATCATGATCCTTAATATTTACAATGTTGGGCCATGTAAATCCACTTTGGAAAATCCAGACCAGGTGTCAAGCAACTTTTTCTCCAAGCATTGGATAGTACGTATTTCAGGGTCTTCAGGCCATTCGCTGTCTGTCACCCAGTATTCAACTGTACCACAGCTGTAGCAGAGCAAAAGCAGTCACAAATAGTATATATGTGAATGGGTGTGGCTTTGCTTCTAATAAAACTTTATTTACAAATACCGATAGTAGGTAGTTTTGATGGTACTCAGTGGACCACAATTTGCCAATCCATGATATAAATTGAAAAAAATACAAGAAAATGAAAAAATGGAAATAAAGGTTTTGTAAATAGGGAAGGGAGGAGGGGGTGTAGGGAGGGCAGGGACAAGAGGAAAAATGAGAACCAAGACCTGTCATGTAAAGGTACAAGATCCCAATGATGAATGTAACTGTACTGTATACCTAACATGTATCAATAAACTCAATGAGAAAAAAAAAAAAAGATTTTTAGGATGACCCTAAGTTTAAAATTCTAAATAGAGAATACAGTCCAAAAGTTTCCCATCCCAGCCTTATTTATAACAGCAAAACATAAATGCAACTCACACATTCATCAGTAAGGGGATCGATTAATTTTGATCACTCTGCTCAGTGAAATATCACGTAGATATTAAAGTGCTGCTTTTTAGGATAGCGTGATGGCGAGATGCTTGGTAGAATGTTACAGGAGGAAATGAAATAGTTTTTTATAATGATACAGAGGATAATGACAGTAGCTAACATCTAAGAACTTCACACACATCGAATCCATGTGAAATAGACTTTTTTTAAGTCCTTTATGCAAGAAGCTGGTGGTAGTGGAAGTTGACTTAGCCAGTGTAACACTGCTGGACGGAGGCAGAGTTGGGATTTAAACACAGCTCTACTTAATGCTAAAAGCGAAAATAAAAGCAACCACATAAGGTCCCAAGTTAAACTCCGTGTACTAAAAAGACCAGAAGAAAGTATGCTCGACAGTCGATGTCATCTGTCTTGAGTGGTAGTTGCTAGATATTAATTTTTCTCAACAGGTTCCACAATTGCTCCATTGAGAGTATACTGCTTAGTAACGAAGAAACAATGCTTGTATTTTTGTAGGGAAGCTAAGGGTGGAAGAAGCCAAGGTGTGAGTGTGGTGGGCGCCATTTTTATTTAGAAGGATCAGCGATCCCTTCTGCCATGCCCTTTAACCTGCTTGGTCTTGCTTTTGTTTGTGGAAAGGACACGGTGGTCCCCTTTCTGTCTTGCTCCAGGTGGCGTTGCATGGTGTTCTGTTTGCACTGTTGGCCCATTTTTCTGCTCTTGGGTTGACCTTCCAGTCCTAACTCTCTTTCTCCTCTCTCTCCTCCCCTTGTCCATCCATCTGTCCCATTATGCAGCTGACAAGGTCAATGACGACTTCTACTCCAAGCGACGGCATCTGGCTGAACTGGCCGCCAAGGGCAACCTACCTCTTCACCCGGTAAGAGTAGAGGACGAGCCCCGGGCCTTCAGCCCCGAGCATGGGCCTGCCAAGCAGAACGGACAAAAGTCCCGCACCAACAAGATGCCCCAGCATCCCTTGGCCTACAACTCCACCACCAACTTTAAAGGCTGGGACCCCAATGAGCAGTCTCTCCGGCGGCAGGCGTATGGCAACAAGGGAAAGCTGGGCACAGCCGAGTCCGGCTCCAGCGACCCCTTGGGAACTCGCTCCCAGCATTACCCACCCACACAGCCATACTTCATCACCAACAGCAAAACGGAAGTGACTGTCTGAGCTGGCACTGCAGGGAGCACCCTGGAGACCACACTCAACTGAGAGAGGCAAAAAACACCCCGCCCACACTGTCCCTGCCCCGCCCCCCCACATTGCACCCACACTCACTCTCGACGGGAACCGACTAGGGACCTACTGGTGATGCAAATCACGCTTTTCCTGGGTCATGCATAAACGCGTCAGGTGGGGGAAGAACTGAAGCATGGACATTCAGCAATACTGCAAAGGGGAAACTGAGGCACAATCTTTTAGCTCCAGGCCCAAGGTGGCCAACTCACATGCCCAAACTGTGGGGCTAAGTTTTGTTTTCCTCCTAACTTGAAACTGAAATCCATGATGATAAAAAGAAATATATAAGTAGCACAATTTAGAGAAATTGTCCATTGGAGCACATATTACATTTGCTACGTGCTGTCTGTTTCTGGGTGAGAGGGAAGTAGAGAAAGAACGAGGGTGGACACAGAAGCCAAGAGTGCGCTTTAGAGGAGTTGCCTTGGGAGGAATATGCCCATATTATATGCATTTTCTAATCCCAAGAAGTGATATGGACACAAAACGATGACAATTGTGGGACAGTAACTGGACCCCAACCATTGTATCAATAGTATTTTTCATATCATCACTGTTGAAAGCAAAAAAAAAAACCAAACAAACAAACAAAAAAAACAAAAACCCAACAACATACACTTGAAATCACAAAAAATAAATGGACCCTGAACCCACTGACAGTGATCGGAAAGAAAGAGCTTTTTAGAGGACTCGCCTAGAGACCATGACCATGGGGATGGGGGAGAGGCGGGGAGAGGATCCAGAGAGAATACAAAATGACTTTTAAAAAGGACACATATAAGCCTGCTACAAAACAGAGAAGAACAGCAAATGAACTTTTGTCCAAAATGTTCAAGACTTGGGAGATCAGATTGATGCCACCACCATCACCACAACAAAATCTACATCTGGAAAAGTCAACAGAGATGGGATGAGGACCCAGAAGCCTCTGATTTCTGGTGGTTCTCCTTCCCCTCCCAGACCTGAAACAACCACAGAAACAAAGTCCTCTATGAACTGTCTATCTCTGATTTCCCGTCCCCTTTAGCGCGTTCCTGCCGCCGCTGCCAAACGTCAACTGCTTTGGACTGAAAATGTTATAAGCGTGGGTGGTGCCTTCAATGTGTTGCCGTTGTTTCATGACAGTCTTGTTTCTCAAGTGCGACCTGTGTTCTTTTAGCCTTCCTCCTTCCTGTTTTTCTGCAGTGGTAGACATTGTTTCTCTTCTTCCTGTGTAGGTGAGCCCAGCCCGTAACACCTCTGAGGGGCTGCTGCGGTGTCAGCAGTACCTAAGGACACTCCTGCTGTCCCCACAGTTCCTCCCAGTCACCTCCCCGCATATCCCACGCCTTCATCACTCGCCTGGAATTTCCTGAGGTTATCTTTGAGATTGGTTCTTATAACCAAGAGCCCTGGGATATCCCAACAAAAAAGCAATTTTCTTAAAAGTCCCGTTTGTCTAATGACAGCCCTGAGAGATACAAGGAGGGAGAAGAGAATATTATATAAAGTGAGAAGTTTCCAACTAGCCCCCGAACAGCTTAGCTAATTGATAGGAACTCCAGAACACCCACAGACCCTTTGTTGTCAGAAACTGCCAACGAACGGAGTGTTTCTTGCAACATTCTGCCTGCCATCTCTCCACTCTAGCGTCATAGAATCAGCACAACCAGGTATTTATTCTCCCCCTCACTCCCTGCAGATATGGAGACACTGACATTACCTTTGATCTCTCTGGGCCTTAGTTTCCTGTCTGAGGAATTGGGGCTAGGTCAAGCTTTTTGAAGTATCAAAACCTCTGCCTAGTTTTAAGTTGACATCTTGCAAAGAACCTGCTATATAAGGTTTCCACGAATAGAGAGACATGGTGTGAGATGTAGCAGGGGTCAGAGACCCTTTCATGCTGAGGCCCTAGCACTCCCCAAAGTCAGCAGCGGAGTCACAGTGCCGGGCATGGTCAATACCCCTTTGATGTTAGTTAGCTATAGACCTGCAACATGTAGGTATCTCTCTGTATCATCATTACACAATATTTGTATCTAAATTGCTTCATTTTTAATATACATTATTTTTAAAAGGACAACTTCCTTCCTCCATTGTAAACAGAAGATCAGTATCATTTGTCATAAATAGGAATAAGAATTAAAAGAAGTGCAAAGACAACAAGGCAGCAGTGATTAAATTCTAGCTAAGTACTGGTACCTGTGGGAACTTCACACCCTCAAGTCTGGCACAAGCTTGCTCTATTAAAAAGAAATTAGGAAATGTGATAGTTGTTCAAGATACCAGTACCCGATGGAGACTTTCCTTGGATTAATCAGATGAACCAAAGGGTAAATTAAAAAGGAATCCTCTCTTCGGGTGAGTCTGTGTTGAATAGTACTATATCCACTGTACTCTACCTACAGTCATTTTGCATAAACTAGAGGTAAACAGCCCACACTTCAGGAAATTCTGAGTTTATCTGCAAGTCTCCCTCCAGCTCAAAGGTTCAATGATTCCTGCCTCCCTCCTCGCTTATCCTTGGTCTTGGGCCTCAACCCACTTTATCTCGCCCTTATCTTAACTCTAAGGGTTTTTCTTGGTCTCTGAGTCTGTTGTGTTTTACCTTTTCCTCATGCTGCTCCTTTTTGAAGCAAACTTCATCCCGTGAACTTGGATCCTTGGAATCTGCAGATCTAATTTTGTCAGCCCTGATGTAGCCTGTTCTGTAAGATGAGGAAGCCCATGGCGAAGCCCAGGAGGAGTAGGTTACTGTCCAAGGAGGACATCCCCAGAAGTACTCCCATCTCAACACCTTCTACCGAGGGGGACAGTGTAGAGAGAGGACTGGAGGAGGAAGTTTGGGCCGGAAAGGCCTGTTTCTCCTTTGACTTCCTCTGGGAAGTGTAGACGGACCTCATAATACTGCCGGTGAGGTGATCTGCGGAACTGTATGACTGCCAATTCCAAGGCAAGGGTCCTACAGCCAAGGTGAAGAGACCTAGCAAAGAAAAACCTGATGAAAACAGACTGTCCTCTGCTCATTTTATGCCCTGGCACTAGCCTCTTCCTCCCTCTGGCTGTGCCCTGATTTCCAACCCAGGGGGGCCAGTCTGGCCTCCATTTGCCTTGGGCTCTGCCTGGCATCCCCATCGAATTCCTCCAGTCTCTTTGTGTAAATGGAGCATATTTTATGTGCAAATATTTTAGTAACCGTATGTTCTGCAAGTAAACCTGTGTTAATACTTGTCACAACTGCAGAGTTTATGATACCAATAATACTTCCTACAATGAAGAAAAAAAAACATTTGTTTGTTTTCTAAGAATGTTTATTTGTAAACATATGTATTCACTATATTAATATGAATTTCTTACCTGGCAATAAAACTGATTATATGTGATCCTGTTGAGGTTGCTGTGCATTTTTCTAGGGCTCTACATCCTAATCTGAGTTTATCCCGGGAAACAACAATGTTAGCATGCAGACCAAGTCTTTAGTTCACTAAATATGAGTTCTCTTTATAACTAACTTGATCTCAATGGCCAAGAATCTTGCTGAGTTTTTAAATCAGTGACTTGAGTTGCAGAATAGAATATTGAAAACAAGGATAGGACATTGTATTCCTCCTCTATTTTAAAGTTTTATTCTCTTCTTGGCCGTTGTTAGCATTGAGCTTGAAGTTTTTAAGTAAAATCCTATCAGAATATGGCTCTCCCAGACAGAAGCTCTGAGACAAGAATTTGAGTGTAAGCAGTTTATTTAAGAAATGAAGTTACAGCAGGAAAAGAAAAGAAGCTAAGCAGCCTGCTTTATCATGCCAGCTATGACTAAAGGTGACTGAGGTTTAATGCTGTAAGGAAACTTTCTAAGTTAAACACAAACACTTGAAATTATCCTGGCCAACCAGACATTGTTGATGAATAGCTTTCAGAGACCGTTACTGTTCAGACAATCCTAAGCTGCCACATGCAGAGAGATTCCCATGGCACACCAGCACACCTACTGGTTACTTAGAAGTTACACATCATGCACTGGATTCCAACTGTGCCAAGGCGCAAGGGGTTGGGGCAGGAATTCACAGTGGCTGCTCATATTCAGAGATTTAGGATCCTCTTGGGAATGAAGCCTCTACTGTCTGGATGCTTAGAGATTCTGTCAGTGTCAACAAACAGAGAGCCACAGTCAACAGCCAGGATTGGAGACCTCGGATTTGGAGTCCCCTCATTGGCCACAGGGTCAAGTGGCATCACCCAAGCAGATCCCATGGACTCTGTCTTTGGGGCATAGTGTTGATTGCCAGAGGAGCCTGGAGCTCTTTCAGCATGCAGGAGGTGATCAAGGGTGGAATTCCTGATGAGAGCACATCGTAGTCCATGGATGCAGTTGTAAAACAGATATTTATGCCTTTGTGAGGAGGGACAGACCACTTTTCTAGGGAGGCCACCTGGCTGGTTACAACTCATCGACAACAGCAAAAATCACGGAAAGCAAATCTGCAAATCTGCAAAACCTTGGACAGTACCACTTAGCAAGTGCCTGTTCTTCCTGGGCTTCCATTGCGGTGTTTTGCCATTTTTGATTCTCATGACTATAAAAGGTAGACACTAATGTGCTTTGGATAAACTGTTCAGAGATCTGTGTAATATGTGAGTGTTCCATCCAAATGAGTTCAAATAATAAGTGATGGGCTGAAATCTGAAACCAGAGCTCATCCTTTAATCGAACAGCTCTCAGTTGGAGGAGCATGTGGATCGGTGAGGATGCTCGATAAACATACAGACTTCTGAGCTTCCCCTGTAGAGATGCAGATGAGGTAGATCTGAATTGGGACCCAAGATCTCGTATTCAGGGCAGACTTCCTACCACTGCAGTGTGGAGGCTCCTGGCCCTGGCTCTGCGAAGTGTTACATGGTCTGCTTATTTAGCCTCTGTGGGTTTGTCCTGTAGTGGATGCTTCGAGAGGGACCAACACCTGTGGCTCCATATCCAGTATTGAAATGTTGCATCCTGTCATGAACAGAAGATTGAGCCCAGAAGACCTTGGGAGGGGTGGTGATGTTGATTCAAATACAAGTTCGCCGTGTTCCTGGGGCCTGATGTGAGCTATCTCTGGTATTCTTTTGCTTCGTCCCAGAAAGAGGAGGTTGTTATTGGTAATCTTTAATCCTGCTCTCTCACTCGATTGAGCAGCGTCCTTCCTCATTACCATGGCAGTTGGTAAAGCCTTCAAGACTGAGTCTTTTACCATTTCCAAAGATCTGTTTCTGTACAACCAGGGTTTTGCTTCATGTAGTGATAACCATCCCAGTGACACTTCTGTGATTTGCATACTTGCCAAGGGCTCTCTAACGGCCACTTGTAACCTTTGTGGAGATTCTTAACTTCTTTTGTGCCACAGACACACTATGCGGGTCTGATGAAGCCTCTGGATTTCCTTTCTCAGAGTAACGCTTTTCCATGTATAAAATAAAATACATAAAATTAGAAAAGAAACTCACTCTCTTGAAATATAGTCATGAAACTATTTTTGAAACCTGTGTTAGTGATTTATATGTTCTTTTTTAACAAATGCATCACATAACAGGCTCTAGTGATCAGTTTCAAAGTAATAGCAGCACACGCAATTATTTGAGCCATTCAGTGCAACTACAATTTGAGGGGACAGTATGAGTGATTCTATCAGTGACAAAACTCACATCGGTGCTGGCATGATTGTGGTTTGCTGTCTACCCTTATAATTGAAGAACATACTACATTTCAGTCAGAGGTTATGAAAAGGTTGTTTTCCCACTTAAAATCACAAGCTCACTAAATTCTATACACTGATTCTCAGGAGAGTCCGTGGTTAAGACTAAGATAAGCACACTTGGACTGTGAACTTAGAGCTCCTTAACCTATTTTCTCCATGCCTGTATTTTCTTATCTGTAACACAGGGATAATAGTAATATGTATCTCTATTATTGGCTACTGTGAGAAGTAAAGTAATAGATAAAGAGATATTAGCTCAGTGCTTCACACCATGTAAATACTTAGGTGTTAGCTTTTGGTTATCATAGGTATTTATTTCACTTTTGCCCTATAATGACCCTATGAAATTGTATTTTTACTGCTGCCTAATCACAGAAGAAAAAGGTGATGGTCAGAGAGATTAAACTTGCACAGCTAACATAGCAAGTCAGTAGCAGAGCTGATTTCTAATCAAACCTCAAGCTCCTGACTGTGGGCTATGCTGAGCCTTTTTTTTTTTTTTTTTTTTTTTTTTTTTTTTTTT